TGTCTCCAGTACCCTCGCCGCGTACCCTCGCCGCGTACCGACAGGCTGGCCGTGGTGGCGAGAGGCCCTAGATCAGAGTTTCTTACACTTTTTAAAACCAAGGAACACCAACCAATCATTGTTTATGAGGAACACCAAGGGGTGAGCTCAGTGGCTCTCACGGGGCGCTGGGCGGTTTGGGGATCACGCCCCAGGGAGCACCAAAATGGCACCGGAGACAGAGCCTGGCAGCCCTCCAGGCAGAGGCAGCTCTTTGGGGGGTTGCTGTGGGCATTGCCCCTGGCTGTGGGATGCACGGTGGGTTTGTGCTGCCCAGGGCAGGAGGAGCTGGGCTGTTGCAGGCCAGGGAATGCAGCTTGGGGTGTGGCTGCCCTGGCCTGAAGTAAGGATGTTAAGGACCAGTCCAGCTGACTCGTCGATCCCCCCCTTGCTGCCTCTATCAGATAGAGGTAGCAAAAGGGGGGGGAGGAGGTACTTCAAAGCGGCAGCACTGCCAGCGTCCGGGATCAGCAGGGGACTCTGAGTCCCGCGCTGACCCCCGGCTCCAGGCAGGTGCTGCCACTTTGAAATGCACAAGAACCCCTGTTGGGGGCCCTTGTACAGTTCAAAGCTGGCCTGAGTCAGCGGGACTTCCCCCCGGCCTGCGCTGCGTGCGGAGTTCTGCGTGCCTCCTTGGGAATGTACAAGTGCCCAGCGGGGCCCAGCGGGGTGGGGCGGGGGCTCCTGTACATCTCAGAGGAGGAACATGGAAGTGCCTGCGGACTAGCTGAGTGGCCATGGAAATTCCATCCACTACTCGACTAGTCAATTCACTGCTAGTTAACATCTTTAGCCCCAAGTGGTTCCACCCTGAGCAGGGTTTGCAGTTGGTTCAGTGGCTCGCAGCCCCACTGCCCCCATGCACTGTGCTCCAGTGGCCCTGGACTGGCTCTCCTGGGGCTGGGCTGGGTGTCCCGCTGCCCTGCAGACTAGTGGACTGCCCCATAAGTCTATGCTTATCGGGTAGTCAAGTCACTACTCAGCTAGTTGCTTCCCCCCTTTCTGTCTCTATCAGGAGCAGGAGCTGGCGCTGGGGGGAGCCAATTTAAAAGCTGGTTCCCTCAGCACCGTCTCCACGGCGGGGCAGGAAAGAGGCGCAGTGGGGGACTGGGCTGAGCCGGGAATCAGCTGATTCTTGGCTTGCCCAGGTCCCAGATGCTGCACCTCTGCTTTTCAATGGAGTAAGAGCCAGGGTCTCTTACTCCATTGGAAAGGCGGAGCGCAGTGGCGTTAGGCCCCGGCAGCAGCTCTGCACTGATGGAGCAGTGGCTGGAAGTGCCATCACGTACTCCACTGGCGGACTGAACACCATTCAACATCCCTACTGCAGACCCCACGCAGGGGTGGGGCGGTGGCCCAGCAGTAGGAATGAGGGGCCCAATGCACGGTCCCCAACTGGAGGGCAGCCGGTGAGCCCAGAGGCTCCGGGTGGTGCATCCCGCCGGAGAATCACAACGTCCTTTGCCAAGGCAGCGCGGAAACGGCCGGGCCGTCCAGAGCTCAGGGAGCTGGACCCCGCTGGGCGCTCCTCTGGTGGGCGCAGATCTCAGGCAAAGCCACTGCCAGGGGTGCCCCGGGCGGCCCGCGCCGCGAGGGGAGGGGATCGCTGTGGCTGCCAGGCAGGTAGGAGCAGGCGGGCCAGTGATGCCTGGGCCTGCCCCGGGTCCCGGGCCCGCAGACAGCAGCGGCCGAGGGCGGGGGCAGCCTTGGGAGGGGCGTGCAAGAAAAGTAGAGCGAGGAGCGATGTTTGATGTTCTGCTCTTTAAGGGATTAATAATCTTTTGGCGTCGGGGAATCGCCTGGAAATCTTCCCTGGAAAATAATGAGCAGAGAAACATTTACTGATTAGTTTAATCCCGGATCATCCCCCCCGATGAGCATATATCAAGAGATCCTTTAACTGATTTATTGGCAAACGGCTCAGTCCAGACCCCAGATTGCTGCGCTGCCGCAAGGGCGCAGAGCGCACGGTGGGCGCGCAGAGGGCGGGAGGCAGGTGTGCGCAGCGCGGCCTGTGCGATCGGCTAGGAGCAGATTTAAGGCTTCGTCGTCCCCAGCCGCCCGTAAACTGCCGCGTTAAACGGAGCCCGGGGTGGCGTCCAGCGCTAGGGGCCGTGCCCCACTGGCTGCGGGCGGGGCCGGCAGCAGGGAAAGTCTCCGAGTCCAAGCGAGCTGCGCGCAGAGGGCGGGAGGCAGGTGTGCGCAGCGCGGCCTGTGCGATCGGCTAGGAGCAGATTTAAGGCTTCGTCGTCCCCAGCCGCCCGTAAACTGCCGCGTTAAACGGAGCCCGGGGTGGCGTCCAGCGCTAGGGGCCGTGCCCCACTGGCTGCGGGCGGGGCCGGCAGCAGGGAAAGTCTCCGAGTCCAAGCGAGCTGGGAAAGGGACTGGGGGGGGGGGGGGCCCGGGGGGGGCCCCAGGCCGGAA